AAAAATCAAAATCCTATGTGATCTTTTTTTTATTTTTTATTTTTTTTTAATTATCTATTTGAACTGTTTGTTTTATTTTAGGAATTTGTGATGTTGCTTCCTTTTTTTATCAATAGAAAAATCACATGCATATTAATATTAGGCCCAAAAACACATTTTTGGAACTCCCTAGGCCTCAAAATCCCAGTTTCAGTGCTCATAAGACGAAATCTAAAAATTTGAATATGTGATGGTAATACCATGGATTAAAATATGAGTTTATAACTCAAGACCGCTTGGATGAGATGGCTTGAGTCTCTTCCAGCTTAACCAGTGGTCTCGTGTTCGAGCCCTGTGAATGCAGCAGTGTTAAAACTCTTGAGGGAGAGCTTTGCCGCCCTTGTGGTCCTACCCGGCCCGATTCCGGATTAGTCGGTTCCCCTGTGGATCCGAAAACCGGAAGGTCCCTGTACCAAAAAAAAAAATTATGAGTTTATATTTATGAGTGTATTGGCAATATGTATATGCAAGAATGTTCACCTATTTACGGTGGACACATGTTAATATGCTCACTGCTTATGTGGTATGCACACATTAGTGATGTTAATATGTTCAAAAAAATACATCATCAATGTGTACATGCCACATAAACGGTGGACGTATTAACTGTGCCTAGGTGAACATTGCTTTATGTATATGTATATTTTATAAAATATAAAGGCCTTGTTTGGCGATCAACGGATAGCGGATAGCGGATAGCGGATTGTATTAGCGGATAGCGGATAGCGGATTGTATTAGCGGATAGCGGATAGCGGATTGTATTAGCTGATTTGACTAGCGGATTGCATTAGCGGTTTTTAAATAAATGTTTGGTAAATAGCTGAAAGCTTATAACTGTTTGACATTGCAAATTACCAATAAAGACATTTTATTATTTAGGGTGTATTCTTTTAATAATAATATATTAAAACATTTAATATTTTTTAGTTGGTAATTTATAAATATCTATTTTTTAAAAAAAAAAATTACTAACAATTGA